GGGGGCAGTCATGGTTGTCTTTCTTACAAGGAGAGTGTGCTGAGACACGTCTCGGTTTACAATCTCAGAACAGCTCTGCAGCTGCTTAGCTGTGTAAACCGTTACAGTCCCTGGACAGCTCTGAAGGGACCGCGTTTGTCTCCTTACATTTATTGAAAGGATGTCCCTGATACACGATCTTCTAATGGGGTTTCAGAAGCGCAATGAATGGGAGATTCAATCAGAATACACAATGCCTTCCTGTTAATGGGAAAAGAGGTCATGCTGGGCGTCAGTGGTCCGTGATTGCAGCCGTTGACGTCACGCAGTGCGTCGTCCTTGAGTTGATGGTGTCTTCAAAAGCCGAGAGCGGAACCCTTTTGGCAACACCTAGATTGTCAATCCCCGCATCCTATCGTAAATGAGATTTCTGCAGAGTCACACTCTTGAGCAAACTCTTTGTAACTACAATAAGAGTAAATATGGTATTATATATATATATATGCATATATATATATATATATATATATATATATACACCGTATTTTCCACACTAAAAGGCGCACTGGATTACGAGGCGTACCTTCAATAAATGGCCTATTTTGTCATTTTTTTCATATGTTGGACGCACCGTATTATAAGACGCAATCTACAATGCATCCACTAGATGGAGCTACGCTCAAGGAAACGCCAACAGAACGATCAGATGTCAGTAAAATTTATTTAATAAAGCAGTGATACGGTTCACTTAAGCAACAGCAAGTTATACCATTGATTCGTTAACGTTGAACTCTCTTGCCGCTGCTCTATTTCCGTGTTCAACTGCGTAACCCGATCGCCTTAAGTTTGAACTCTGCGTTGTAAGCATGTCTCGAGCAAGGAGCCATCTTGGGGTCGAAATTTTACCGTAATAATCATACACAAGGCGCATCGGATTTTAAGGCGCACTGTGAGCTTTTAAGAAAATGGAAGGCGCCTTTTAGTGCGGAAAATACGGTCTATATTTATTCCATCAAACAAGCGAGTCACTGTGCTTCGTTTCATTCGTTCCAGACCCACTTTGAGGAAGCTGAAACCTCACAGCATGTATGAGATCTGGGTAAGAACGTCTCCACATACAAACTTTCCTGTCCGCCGAACGACAATGGAAAAGCCCTTTGAGCTTTTATTCCGTATTGCCCCGAAAACGGTTTGTCTAACCCCAGGAGGATGACATCGACGGCGAGCACATTGTGGCCTTCGCTGAGGAAGACGACCCAGGTAGGAGTCCGATGAGTCCGCTCAACCCCACCGATCTGATGCGGCTCCTTATTTTGATTTTGGAACTCCTTAGATGGTTTTGAGTTCCTGGAGATCCTGAAGGAGGTGGCACGTGAGAATACAGATAATCCCAACCTGAGCATCATCTGGATCGACCCTGACAACTTCCCCCTGGTAAGGCAGACGTCACGCTTTGCTTTGAATGCAGTGGTCCGTTGAAGCAAAAAAAAAACACTGGACCCAAAAATGTTTGAGAACCCCTTGTCTAATATCTATGATGCGGTTCTCAGCTGGTCCCGTACTGGGAGAAGACCTTCCGCATCGACCTGTCATCCCCCAAAATCGGCGTGGTTGATGTGGAGGACGTAAGCAATCTTTGCTGTTTCCGTGTACAGAGTTCGACGGTTTACGCTTACTTCTTGATGCTACTCTTCTTCTTTTACTTGATCCTTTCGGCAGGCTGACAGCGTGTGGATGGAAATGGACGACCACGATGAAATGCCGACGGCAGACGAGCTGGAGCGCTGGATTGAGGACGTTCTCTCGGGGAAGATCGACCCTGACGACGACGACGAGGATGAGGACGACGATGAGGACGATGATGACGATGACGATGATGACGACGACGATGATGATGACGATGACGACGATGATGACGACGATGATGATGACGATGACGACGATGATGACGACGATGATGAATAGAAACATCCCAACTATCTTTCAGTCCCGTTGTTACGTTGAAAATTGTTTCTGACGAAAATCACGGTGTCGACGGCAACGACAACGGAGAAAAACAGGCCAACTATCTTTCAGTCCAGTTTTAACAGTGAGGCGGATTTCTCGATTCACTTCCTGCGGCGGGGGGGGCTGAATATAAGGAGCCGCCGGGAGGCGCTGAAAACCACCGGCTGAAAACCACGGCTTTGCTTGACAAGCCGACTGCGCTTGCGTTTTGTACCTTGTGTCACACGACCAGAGCTCAGAAACAGTCACTTCAGATAAAGTGTGTCAGAAATAATAAAGAAAATTAACGACAAACAAACAACCAAAAGAAACGAATCACTGGAGAGTCTTAAAATGATCCCGGAAAATTTGCTATGGAATTAATTAAGAAAGTAGCTGTTTCTGTTCTCTCATCCCAAATAAAAACAAAAAAAAAACCCTTAAAAAAGAAAAACAGTCCTACTTGTATTTATTTCCACATATAATGGACAGCATGCAATGGGGGAAAGAATGATTTGGTACTCTGTAAAGACAATAACACGCCCACACTCATAACTCAATCAACTTCAGCTGTTTTAGTAGTCTTTCCCTGCCTATTTTTTTCTTTTTTGTCACATATTACAGCACAATCCTGCGCTGCCGAAACCTTCCTAAGTAAGCGTAGTCATGCTTTCATAAGAGTTTACCTTGCTCTCATTTTCATATATCACAAAAATATTTGAACAGGGGTGTGTAGACTTTTTATGTCCAAGCTCTGTATGTGTGTGTGGTGACAACTATTTCCTCAAAAAGGAGATAAAGGTCACCGTGTAAAATAAAACCAACAAGATAACGCTCGGAGCTTTTTCGAATCATATATTGGACTTTTGTGTCCGTCGGGAAAGGCGAACTCGACGGCAATAAAACAAAATTGCTCTTCTCAATACAAATGCACTACAAGTTCATAGAAAGGGAAACTTTGTATTTTTTTTTTTTCCCGTGATGCCAAGTTATCAATGCATACATTGTAATTGAGTCGGTATTACTTCTACCGCAGTTTTATTTTTAAATCACAAAGTACTATATCACAAAGTACTTTTACTTAAGAGAGTGAGGGTATTTTTTTTTTCATGTCTTTTTAGCTTTGCTGAATGAGGGCTTTCTCCGCAACGGGACATATGACGATGGTGTCGGAGGCTTTGTCGGAACAGTACAAGTAGAAAAACGGAAGAATCTTTTCTGACAACCTGTCACTGAAAGTGTAAAGGTGGGTGCGAGCCCGGACGTCATAGAAGGATATTTGGCCCTCCTCGCAGTCCACGTACACTCCCACCGTTTTGGGTTTGGGGTTGAGCGCCAGTGAGAGCGGCGGCACGGTGGACACGCGGTACCCTTGGCCCTTCTTCATGGCGAGGGCCCAGTACCCGTTGGCGCTGCTCACCGAGATGCGGCCTTTCCTCTTGACGGACGACTTGGCCACGCCCAGGTACCAGTCATCCTTCTCGCCGACCTGGACTTCCCAGTAATGTCTGCCGGAGGTGAAGCCCTCTCGGCCCAGGACGATGACCACCGTGTCGAATCGGTCAGGGTGGTCCGGGAGATCTTGCCACGCCCCCAGGTGACGCACCTGCCGCCTGTCCTGGGAGAGCTGCAGCCACGGGTTGGCGGTATCCGGGTCCAAAGTCACGTCCTCTAAAGAGGGAAGGACGCTTAGTTAGTCAAGGGGGGTATGAAAGGAAGGCACGGGGGGGGGGTTAAAAGCAGTTCTAAGTTGTGGCACAGGTGGAGTTGACCGAGGTGCAGGCATGTCGCAACAAAGGTCGCGGGGCGTACTGGAGCCTATCCCAGCTGTCTTTGGGCCGTAGGCGGGGGTCACCCTGCAAACTCCACACAGGAAGGCTGGACCTGGTACCTCTGTACTGTGAGGTCGACACGCAAACCACTGGACCTCCGGGCCGCCTTCTATCTGAATTATTGTAGAAATTAACTAATTGAACAAATGGTTATTATTAGCCATCCATCCATCTTCTGATCCGCTTATCCTCACAAGGGTCGCGGGGTGTGCTGGAGCCTATCCCAACTGTCTTCCGGCAGTAGGCGGGCTACACCCTGAATTGGTTACCAGCTAATCACAGGGCACACATAGACCAACAACCGTCCGCGCTCACACTCACACCTAGGGACAATTCAGAGTATTCCATTAACCTGCCACACATGTTTTTGGAATGTGGGAGGAAACCGGAGTACCCAGATAAAACCCACACAGGCAACGGGAGAGCATGCAAACCCCACACAGGAAGGCCTGAGCCGGAATCAAACCAGGCACCTCTGCACTGCCAGCGTGTTAACCAGACGACCACCGGGCCGGCCAATTATGATGATGATCATTATGAATACTATTATTATTCATATTACTGTATTATGATCACATCTGTGACTGGTGGGGAGGAGTGTCTGCAGGGACTTACACTGTACACTTACAGATGCACAAACGGTGTAGAAGGCTGTCTCCAAGTGCCCAAAATGACCTGTTTGTGGGAAATCTTTTGTTCTGCATATATATATATATATATATATATATATATACACCGTATTTTCCACACTAAAAGGCGCACTGGATTACGAGGCGTACCTTCAATAAATGGCCTATTTTGTCATTTTTTTCATATGTTGGACGCACCGTATTATAAGACGCAATCTACAATGCATCCACTAGATGGAGCTACGCTCAAGGAAACGCCAACAGAACGATCAGATGTCAGTAAAATTTATTTAATAAAGCAGTGATACGGTTCACTTAAGCAACAGCAAGTTATACCATTGATTCGTTAACGTTGAACTCTCTTGCCGCTGCTCTATTTCCGTGTTCAACTGCGTAACCCGATCGCCTTAAGTTTGAACTCTGCGTTGTAAGCATGTCTCGAGCAAGGAGCCATCTTGGGGTCGAAATTTTACCGTAATAATCATACACAAGGCGCATCGGATTTTAAGGCGCACTGTGAGCTTTTAAGAAAATGGAAGGCGCCTTTTAGTGCGGAAAATACGGTCTATATTTATTCCATCAAACAAGCGAGTCACTGTGCTTCGTTTCATTCGTTCCAGACCCACTTTGAGGAAGCTGAAACCTCACAGCATGTATGAGATCTGGGTAAGAACGTCTCCACATACAAACTTTCCTGTCCGCCGAACGACAATGGAAAAGCCCTTTGAGCTTTTATTCCGTATTGCCCCGAAAACGGTTTGTCTAACCCCAGGAGGATGACATCGACGGCGAGCACATTGTGGCCTTCGCTGAGGAAGACGACCCAGGTAGGAGTCCGATGAGTCCGCTCAACCCCACCGATCTGATGCGGCTCCTTATTTTGATTTTGGAACTCCTTAGATGGTTTTGAGTTCCTGGAGATCCTGAAGGAGGTGGCACGTGAGAATACAGATAATCCCAACCTGAGCATCATCTGGATCGACCCTGACAACTTCCCCCTGGTAAGGCAGACGTCACGCTTTGCTTTGAATGCAGTGGTCCGTTGAAGCAAAAAAAAAACACTGGACCCAAAAATGTTTGAGAACCCCTTGTCTAATATCTATGATGCGGTTCTCAGCTGGTCCCGTACTGGGAGAAGACCTTCCGCATCGACCTGTCATCCCCCAAAATCGGCGTGGTTGATGTGGAGGACGTAAGCAATCTTTGCTGTTTCCGTGTACAGAGTTCGACGGTTTACGCTTACTTCTTGATGCTACTCTTCTTCTTTTACTTGATCCTTTCGGCAGGCTGACAGCGTGTGGATGGAAATGGACGACCACGATGAAATGCCGACGGCAGACGAGCTGGAGCGCTGGATTGAGGACGTTCTCTCGGGGAAGATCGACCCTGACGACGACGACGAGGATGAGGACGACGATGAGGACGATGATGACGATGACGATGATGACGACGACGATGATGATGACGATGACGACGATGATGACGACGATGATGATGACGATGACGACGATGATGACGACGATGATGATGACGATGACGACGATGATGACGACGATGATGAATAGAAACATCCCAACTATCTTTCAGTCCCGTTGTTACGTTGAAAATTGTTTCTGACGAAAATCACGGTGTCGACGGCAACGACAACGGAGAAAAACAGGCCAACTATCTTTCAGTCCAGTTTTAACAGTGAGGCGGATTTCTCGATTCACTTCCTGCGGCGGGGGGGGCTGAATATAAGGAGCCGCCGGGAGGCGCTGAAAACCACCGGCTGAAAACCACGGCTTTGCTTGACAAGCCGACTGCGCTTGCGTTTTGTACCTTGTGTCACACGACCAGAGCTCAGAAACAGTCACTTCAGATAAAGTGTGTCAGAAATAATAAAGAAAATTAACGACAAACAAACAACCAAAAGAAACGAATCACTGGAGAGTCTTAAAATGATCCCGGAAAATTTGCTATGGAATTAATTAAGAAAGTAGCTGTTTCTGTTCTCTCATCCCAAATAAAAACAAAAAAAAAACCCTTAAAAAAGAAAAACAGTCCTACTTGTATTTATTTCCACATATAATGGACAGCATGCAATGGGGGAAAGAATGATTTGGTACTCTGTAAAGACAATAACACGCCCACACTCATAACTCAATCAACTTCAGCTGTTTTAGTAGTCTTTCCCTGCCTATTTTTTTCTTTTTTGTCACATATTACAGCACAATCCTGCGCTGCCGAAACCTTCCTAAGTAAGCGTAGTCATGCTTTCATAAGAGTTTACCTTGCTCTCATTTTCATATATCACAAAAATATTTGAACAGGGGTGTGTAGACTTTTTATGTCCAAGCTCTGTATGTGTGTGTGGTGACAACTATTTCCTCAAAAAGGAGATAAAGGTCACCGTGTAAAATAAAACCAACAAGATAACGCTCGGAGCTTTTTCGAATCATATATTGGACTTTTGTGTCCGTCGGGAAAGGCGAACTCGACGGCAATAAAACAAAATTGCTCTTCTCAATACAAATGCACTACAAGTTCATAGAAAGGGAAACTTTGTATTTTTTTTTTTTCCCGTGATGCCAAGTTATCAATGCATACATTGTAATTGAGTCGGTATTACTTCTACCGCAGTTTTATTTTTAAATCACAAAGTACTATATCACAAAGTACTTTTACTTAAGAGAGTGAGGGTATTTTTTTTTTCATGTCTTTTTAGCTTTGCTGAATGAGGGCTTTCTCCGCAACGGGACATATGACGATGGTGTCGGAGGCTTTGTCACAACAGTACAAGTAGAAAAACGGAAGGATCTTTTCTGACAACCTGTCAGTGAAAGTGTAAAGGTGGGTGCGAGCCCGGACGTCATAGAAGGATATTTGGCCCTCCTCGCAGTCCACGTACACTCCCACCGTTTTGGGTTTGGGGTTGAGCGCCAGTGAGAGCGGCGGCACGGTGGACACGCGGTACCCTTGGCCCTTCTTCATGGCGAGGGCCCAGTACCCGTTGGCGCTGCTCACCGAGATGCGGCCTTTCCTCTTGACGGACGACTTGGCCACGCCCAGGTACCAGTCATCCTTCTCGCCGACCTGGACTTCCCAGTAATGTCTGCCGGAGGTGAAGCCCTCTCGGCCCAGGACGATGACCACCGTGTCGAATCGGTCAGGGTGGTCCGGGAGATCTTGCCACGCCCCCAGGTGACGCACCTGCCGCCTGTCCTGGGAGAGCTGCAGCCACGGGTTGGCGGTATCCGGGTCCAAAGTCACGTCCTCTACGGAGGGAAGGACGCTTAGTTAGTCGGGGGGGGCTATGAAAGGAAGGCACGTGGGGTGGGTTGGGGGCGGGGACGTGACATCCAGCATACCTGTGTACTTCAGGACCTTCTCGATCTCTGTCGGAAAAGGAGAACAGGATTGAATGTTGTTTGAGATTTAGGCTGTGTTTGGAATCACACCTTATCACCTATGCCGTGCGCTAAGCACTTCGCACTTTCAGTCGTGTTTAACAACAGGCTGGCTGTTCATGTATTGCACCACTTCCACATAAAAAGAACATCGATTGTAGATCGTTTTGAATGAATAAATGGTTCTTAACGCGGACGCGGTACCTCTGTCCGCCAGCCTGTCCACCATTTGCTTGAGAGTGCTTTCCAGTTTGGACACGGCCGTCCTGATCAAGCCGACGCTAACATCGGTGGGGACGTTTGTGTGGGTCCAGTCGTGGATGGACGGGGCAGCGCTCATCGCCGGAAAGTTCTACAGAAGCAAGAGACGCCGATGAAACAGTTTTCAGGAAGCTGGAAGATCCACCCGCAATTTTCAAACAAACAAAAACGAATCACTTCATCGTCATTTGTCGTCGTCGGTAAAACAATCGGGTGTGCCAGCCTGTCTGCAGCAAAAGATTGAATCATTCGCAATGTTACATAGTTGTTGTGCAGAACTCTAGCATGCCACATCATCCTGCACCTTCAAAAAGTGAATGTGGTCGGTCCTGTCCATGTTCTCCAGGAGTCTGCAGCAAAAGATTGAATCATTCGCCATGTTACATAGTCGTTGTGGAGCAACTCCGGCATGCCACATCATCCTGCACCTTCAAGAAGTGAATGTGGTCGGTCCTGTCCATGTTCTCCAGGTCAACGCCCCGCCTCCTCAGCTCATCGATCTCCCTTTCCAGTTCAGCGACCAGATCATGCGCTTGGCTCTCGATTCGCCTCTGTTTCTCCTCGATGGCTGCCACCACGTCGGCCTGAGTCTTCTGGATGGAGCGCACCAGCTCGCAGAAGACCTGGATGCTGTCCTCCGTCTCTCTCTTCGCGCTGGCCTGCCATCACGAGCCAAGAAGTACAAAGTCAGAAAGCAGCTCGAAGCCCCGAAGAGTTGTGAACGTGCGCTCGAGTTCTCACGTCGCTGAGCTCGACTGAGCGTTTGATCTCCTCCACTTTCCTTACTCTGTCCTGGATCAACTGCTGCACGTCCACTTGGACCTTTTTCAACTGTGCCTATAACAACAATAACAGCACAAGTACTCAGCAGGGTACTTCAAAAATGAGGCTCAACACACGATGGGCGCGGGCAATGACTTCCTATGAGTTGCCGATTCCAGATGAGCTGATCAGAATCAGTTTGATCGACTCTTTTGCTTGGCTGTCTGGAACAGATAACTCAGCTTATCCCTCATCTCAGTTTTCAGATGACCCGCGTCCTGAAATACCCCCTGAGGCTTCGTTTCCACTCACCCTTTTCTCGGTCCATTCCCTTTCCACGGGGACGGTGTAGTGTGCGCGGTGGTCCGTCTCCGTGCACAGGACACACACACACGTCTGGTCCTTCTTGCAGAAAAGCTCCAGGAGGCGCTGGTGCTTGGGGCACATGCGGTCCTCCATGTTGGCCACGGGTTCCATCAGCTTGTGTTTGGTGAACCTGCTGGCGTGCGACTTGAGGTGCTCCTCGCAGAAGGAGGTCAGGCACACCAGGCAGGACTTCACGGCTTTGGGACGACCTCCGCCGAGGCAAACATCACAGAGGACCTCCTTCCAGGAAGGAGAAGCTGGAGACGTAGACGCCGGCGGTGGAGTTTCGGTTGGCTCCTCCAGAAGTCTATTTGATCCGTGTCTTTCCTCGGTTCTGCTGTAGTCCTTCCCCTTGAGCTTCATCTCCTCGTCACGGTTGTCCTCCAAAAGCCGCACCTTGTCCTCTTCCCCGCGCCTTTCCATGGTCCACCTATTCCCTTTTACGGCCTTCCCCGGCGCACTCTTCAGCCGCATCTCCTTGAACTGCTCAGCAATCTCCCTCAGGACGGTATTGACGCTTGTGTCCGGCCTCTTGTAGAAGGACTTCTTGCACATGGGACACTGGTATAGCGGGCTGCTCTTCCAGTATCCCAGGATGCAAGCCTGGCAGAAGTTGTGACCGCAAGGGATGGACACGGGATCGGTGAAGACATCCAGGCAGATGGAGCAATGTACCTGCTCTTCCGAGAGGTTCCCGGGGGACGACATCCCTGCACGACGGAGAGGCAGCGTCATATTAACGGCGGGCAGCCCTTTTTTTCCTCACCTGCTGTGACAGTGACGATGGGAGGGTTAGATTGGGAAGTGGCGGTGAAGTCACACGTGTGCAAGTCAGAACGCTCAAGTCTTGACCTTCAAGTGATTCCAAAATTACTCGGGCAAAAAAAATCCAGCGAGTTCATATCCCCCACGACATTTCGTGCATTCAAGAGGAAGAAAAATTTGGTAACATTGGAGCATAAGAAGACCGCTTTGAATGACCTGGACAAATTTGTGAGGATTTTGTGATTTCTTGATCATCTACTTTAGGTTCCTGTTAGTAGGTTCAAATCTGTTTGAAATACAAATATGCCATCCAATAAATTAATTGTTGTGTTCTTGGTTGTGTTTCTAGTTCCCGAACCTTAACCCCAGGTGTGAAAGATAACGAAGGTCCTCCCCCCCGAAAACTAAATCCAGGAAGTTGAATCAGCAAAAATACCTTTCAGAAAAGAAGTCCCAAGTCCTAAAATGATCAATTTAGTGTTTGACCCCCACCTCGCCATAGATATTACTCCCCACCCCCACCCCCCTCCTTGTGGAAGGGACGACATTTAAACTCAAAGACATGACGGCTTGCGAAATACAGGCTCTTTGAAATCACGAGGAGTTTGACCGACAAGATGAAATGCCAAAAATGAAACCAAAGAGAAGAAGAGGAAGCAGATGACACGCTTGTCATAAAGTCACGAAGACTCACCAGTTGCTTCGAAGCTCTGCTGTGCACTGACACATGAAACCAGCTGCAAGCAACGCACACGCACACACACACACCTACGACCCAAAATATACCCCCCTCCCCTTAACCCAGATAACACAAGCACGGAAAGGCCACCGGAAGGGCAAAACACAAATCTTGTCCGGTCTTTAAGTCTGAAGGCATCTTTATTCAACAAAAGCAAGTCAACACATTGGGACCACCGTCGGTTCCGTTAATCGAGCCCGTAGTCAGTAAACTTTGATCTCTGAAGTCCGTTTGAGGCGGAAAGAGTCAGACCCCGTTGTGAATGTTGTCCACATCGAATGAACTTTTTTGTTCAGGGTGTGTCAGGCAGTTGAGCTCCAAAGCGTACATCATTACGGGAAAACGTCGGGTTGCAAAATTAAGGGAATTGGAAAACTATTTGGGCAAATTAATGGGAATTTAAAAAAAAAATGATGGTTGGACACGAGCAGATTTCATTCAAGTACCTCTGAGTACCCAAAATACCTTATTTCACGCTATGAACAGCTGCTTGCTCGATTATTTTATTTTTTGCTATTTGTCACAAGACAAATTTTGAGGTCCGAGCAAGTTTTGATTACACTGCTGCTCAAGGGGGAGTGAAAAAAACAGAAATCAATTAAACATCTTGTCATGACCTTACTTGTGGGCAAGGAGAGCTATCGATTTTGTATTGATATTTACTTATGACCAAAAAAAAAAAAAAAAACTGTCTATGTCCCGATATGAAAAGGTCCCCATTGAAATTCCACCAGAAACTTTCTGGAAGTCCCCCCACCCTCCCCCTTGCAACCCACATCAAAGTCAGGTATGTTTGACGGATGTGATAGCGAGAGGGGAAGTGTTCTTGCCCTCCTGGCTGAGGCAGGGGCTGAAGATGGGGTACAGGTTTTCATTAAAGTTGTGGACAAAGGTGTAGAGGTGCAGGCGGGCCTTGGGGTCATAGAAGGAGACCTGGCCCCCTTCGTAATCCAGGAAAACGCCCACTTTAGCGGGCTGGGACGTTAGCGTGAGAGGAAGGCGGGAAGAGGCCAGCGCTTTCACCTGGCCGTTCTTCAGCCACAGGCACCAGTAGCCGCCGGCGGGACTCAGCTTGATCTCGCCCTTGCGCCGGGCCGAGGCGTTGGCCACACCCAGAGTCCAGGCCGTCTTGCGGGCCACGTCCACCTCCCAGTAGTGGCGTCCCGAGCTCAGAGCCTCCCGGCCCAGGACAAAGAGGGCCGGACTGAAACGTTTAGGGCCCTCGGAGTGAGCCGTCTTGCGTTCCTCGTACCTCACCTGGCGGCCGTCGTCGGACAGCACCAGGTTCTTCTGGGCGGTGGCTGGGTCCAGGATGACCTCAACTGAGGAACAAAAAACAAGTTTGGGACTCCTTAGCAATTCAAAAGCTCACTGAACGTGAGTGAGTGAGTGAGCGCCATCTGGTGGCCATCTTCGATGTAAAGTGACTCACCGGAGTAGTTCTGCACTTTGCGGAGTTCTAAAGCACAAGACAAAGATTTTGCATGATCGACGAGGCAAAAAGGAGGAGTTTCATTTTGAAAAGTAACGGCGCTGCGCTCCCACCTTTGCCATAAAGCCTCTTCAGCTCCTCCTGAAATTTGTCCATAAGGCCACTGACGGACGAGCGGATGGTTCCGAGGTAGAGATCCGTGTTGATGCTCACCGCCGACCAGTCGGTGGGCTCGGGAAGCGGGGGCAAGGTGGCCAAGTGCTGCATGGAGCAAATGGGAACGATGAAACACATCCATGAATTGAATGACTGAGAATCGATGCAGACAGCATCGCTCTGGTGCCGTTTGGCGGCTGAAGTGAGTTGAGGAGCTTCATTTCAGACAAAAGTAGCCATTTGCCACCATCAGTTGACATCTATACGCAGATAATGCGCAATGAAAAGAGGTTGGGGGACAGGGTCAATTATTTTGAGATCAGCCTACCTGCAAGAAGACCACTTTGTCGTTGTTCTGGGCCTGGGCGTCCAATTCATGGCTCCGCCTCCTCAGCTGACTCAGTTCGTTCTCCAGGCTTCGCGCCAGCTCCTGCGCGTGGCGCTCGGCCTCGCGTTGTCTCGTGGCGATGAGCTCCACCAGCTCGGCCTGGCTTTGCTCCACCAGGCGCTGCAGTTCGGCAAACACCTGCCAGCTCTCCTCCAGCTCCTTCTGGGCGCTGGCCTGCAAAACACACACACGCACGCACGCGCGCACACAAGGGAAGGCTCAAACAGTGTCTACATTGTGGATCTATCATTTGACTTCTGCACACAGCCATTTCCTGTTTGCAACAATGAACTGTTGTGCATTCAAGAGTTTAATAAGGTCAGATGAAAGGGGGCGATTGCAGGTTTTTAATTCAAAGAATCCACCACGCCTGAGAAAGGACAACATTTAAAAGAGAAGGCGATTGTTAAGTGAGGTTTCAGTCAAAGCTTGCTTGTAGTTTGAAAATTGAAAACTTTTTAAGTTCACCTGTAAAGGTTATAGTACATTTTTGGCTTCATTATGAAACTTCACTCAAAAACCCAATCTCAAGAACTTATTCATGGGTCTGTGTTCGGAAAAGAAGAGAAATGTATGACTAAGTGACTCGACAGGATTTTGCATACAAACAATCCCACGCCGATGCACTCCACGGTGGAGCTAATTAAAAGCTACACAAAGACACTCCTCGGGTCCGCGCTAAGCAAAGCACGCGAGGCTTTTCTACAGACCGGTCGCACTGGTTGAACGAGCACATGTGAAGGCCTCGCTACGATTTGCTGCACAAGAGGAAGAGGAACTCGGGGAAATGGGGAGGTTGGAGGCAGTGTCAAGTACCCACTTTGATCCAAATACTAGACCTGATGTGATCACACACACACAAGAACGGGGAAAATCGGTGCTAAGACGCTAACACGGAGCTAGCACTATTTCATACACACAAGCGAAGTTTTATGTGTATGTGTCCGTGTTAGCATTAGCGCCATGCTAGCCACTAGCCAAACTTTATTAAATTATTTTTTGATTTAATTTCATGTTAAACGTCCACCACAAACACTAAGACGCTAACACGGAGCTAGCACTATTTCAAACACACATGCTAAGTTTTATGTGTATGTGTCCGTGTTAGCGTTAGCGCCATGCTAGCCCAGACCCGAGCTCCAGCGGCCCCCATTTAAATTGAGTTTGAGACCCCTGCTCTATACCCCTTGCGATGGACTTGGGACTAGTCGAATATGTCGATCCCGATCGACATATTGGGCACCCTTGCCCTAGAATTATCCAAACGTAATCAGATGCAACCATGACCATGTTCTCAAGTTGGAACATAGGGGAAACAATGGGTTTGGTTTGGGGTCAGTGAGGGGGGCGCTACATAGTCGAAAGAATATTCGGTAGAATGAACCAGTGTTAAGCCATCGAAACAAAACACATTTTGATCAATGCAAGAATGACCTTGCTGGGCGAGAACGTGTTTACACAGTGAGCTTCCTTGTAAATGAATAATCCCCCATTGTTTTGATTGCCCGCAAGGATTTTTAAAAAACGTGGGCAGTTTCAAGGAAATGTTTGTGCCTTATTTGGCAGCTAGGTCTCCACGACATGTTCTTGCCTCATTTGCATGCACCAGTTGCTCTTTAAAGGGTCACCGGGCCAGAGCCAAACAGTGAAAAAGTAACAAATCATCATGACTGGGTTTTTTTCTACATCAAATAGGACATCATATCTGTTTCAAAGTAGACATTTTCTCCGAAAATGAGTGGTGTAACATTTAAATAAGGTACAATCCCCTTTCTCTACAAGGCTGGTGAAGGAATAACATCCATTTGTCAATGTCAGACAGGCTTTCACGACAAAGGATCTGTCGTTCATAATTCAATTAAAATAATTTACGACGAGGATATCCTTGGCCCGGATCAAAAGTGACCCATGCATATGGAAACGGAATGGTGTATAAGGGTCCTCATGGCTTGACGACTGAGCAGGTCTCACCTTGATGACCTTAATGGATTGCTTGAGTTCTTCCAGCTTTTTGCCGCGCTCCTTAATCAGGTGCTTCAGCTCGGACCGCTTCTTTCCCAGGCTGCTCTGTTGGAGAAGGACAACGCGGTAACGTGAGCGTGCGAAGATGCCGGAGTACACGCGCGGCGGTATGCCGCTTGCCACCCACCATCTTCTTCTTCCACTCGTGGTCCGCGGAGACCACATCGTGCGATTTGTGCGAGGTATCCACGCAGCCGCTGCAGATGCAGGCGTGGTCGGTGCGGCAGTAAAACTCCAGAAGGCGCTCGTGCTTTTTACAGATTTTATCCTCCAGGTGGAAGGTGGGCTCGATCAGGCGATGGGACGTCAGGGACTTCACCTGGAAAATTCAAGTCGTACGTCACCAGACAGGAAGTCGCTGCTTTTGACGGAGCCCTCTCCCAAAGTGAGAATATCATTATATTAATAATAATAATATATAATATATATAATTATTAATGTCATTATAATATATTAATATTAATACTATTAATATAATAAAAATGACAAAATATATTTATATTTATTTATATATTTATGTTTATATTATAATAGATATAATAAAAAATAATATAATAATAATAATAACAATATTAATAATAATAATATTAATATACTATGACTTCTATTACCATTACTACGATTGCGCTACCTTTTTATGATGTCTCAGATGGGTTTGACAGAAGGACCCGGGACAGTTGATGCACGACTTGTGCGCCTTCATCTTCCTTCCAATACAAGCATCGCAGGGGACTTCCCCGGCCCGCGCAAACTCGCCAGTCTCATAGCTCGGGGATCCCGGATCCGAACTCAGATTCAGCATGGACCCTCGCGTGGACGATCCGAGTGCCTCGGCCCCGCCGGCCACCGCCATCCCCTGGAACTGAGAGGAGATCTCTGCCAGGACCCTGTTGACGCTCATCTCGGGCTTCCTGGTGTAGCTTTTCTTGCACATGGGGCACAGGAACTTCTTGCTGTGGTTCCAGTAGCCCTGCAGGCAGGCCTTGCAGAAGCTGTGGCCGCATGGCGTGGACACGGGCTCCACAAACACTTCCAGGCAGATGGAGCAGCTAAACTGGTCCTCGTTGAGGACGCGGCCTGCTGGAGAACTCACGCCTGGAATCAAAGAGACGTCAGGGAGGAACTCAGGTGGAGAGCATGTGACAAACATCCGGAAGTTGCAAAAACACTTACAAGCTCTACTTGAGGAAAAAAAATAAAGAACTCTGGGAGAAATTGAAATATTGTTCAACTCAAGGGAAAAAAAGAAATTTGTACTTGGGTCATTTCCACCGTTAACATGACAGACCTTTTTTTTTTCTTTTTTTTCAGTTGTACCTGATTAAGACACAGCGAAGTGCAAACCAACCGAGAAAATGTTTCCTTTAAGCAGCAGCAATGCTCACGCTAGAAGTCGTTAGCATTTGCGATGACTCGTAAAACAAGCAGGAAGTCCCGTGTATGGAATGTCGACCGACGGGAGCTTCCACCTGGCAGCGCGACCTCCATTGCGAGTGGAATACGAGTCAATAACAAGTAATCAATCATAATCACGCGCTTTACTTTTTACCGGCGCGCAAAACAAAAAAAAAAAACATTCACATTTAACAATAATGTCATTTTCACCGTAACATATTTGGATTAAAGAGCTTCTCCATACTGGTATGAGTCATAACACAAAGATTCTTTTTTTTACGGCTGCTCGGCTCCTAGACATTGGTTAATTAACCTATTGAGGTAAGAAATACAAGGGGACGTGATCAACAGCAGCAAGAAATAGTCAAGAGCCACCGCAGTAGACCGACAAGTGAAAGAATTCCCTCGTCCCGTCATTTCAAACTCACTCTGCATGCTGTCCTGACGCCGCTCCCTTGGCAATAAAAAGCCGACAGGCCGCTCGCTTTCGTAGGTCTCCACAGAAGCTCGGCGGCCCTCCCACACCCCCTGCGAGGGAGGTGTCCTGAAACCAGACACACGTCGCTTGTTTGCTTATTGTGACGTCAAATGTATTCTTGTTCCCGACTTGACGGGCTGCTTTCCTTCGTGTCATACGGACAACACTCGCACAACTGAAAGTAAGAAATGAAGACGAAACTGCAACAGACTGCTCAACAAAAAGCATTTTTTTGACATTTAGATTCAAATGAAGGGGTTTGTATTTTGGTAGTGCGTGACGGGTTAACTGAAGGAACACAACGGCGCTGACACGAATCAGGATAGTGGGCACTTGGGACAAATTTTAATGGATGATGGCGAACAAAAAAAAAAAAGTTATCAACTTCAACTGAGTAGATTCATGCAGTTTACAAAAAAAAAAAAAAAGCATTTGTTACCAGCCATTCCAGCTATATTCAAATCCACTATATACACACACAACGTATACATTATAAACATGAGGCTCTTCTATACATTTATGTGAGCGGAGTGTCAAACTCCGCGCAGTAAATTAAAACACAGTGATATGATGCTATGGTGTCACAGACAAAACAAGAAACTGCAATTGAATGTGAAGCACCCAAAAAAAAAAAAAATACAACATAAGGCCTTTTTTTCTTTGGTAGTGAGATATGCGTACACGAGTGTCACATCTCGCATCAAGTCATGCTTGAAAGTGGCACAGGTGCTTCCATGTAGGGGTTGAACTGAGCTTGAATCTTTGTGCGGCAACCTGAGAAGCACAAAGTCTTCTTCTTTTTTTTTTTGCTCTCTACTTCAAGTGTCACTTCCAAGCATCCAGTCAGTAATGCCCGTAGCCCACGGACATTCCCAATCCCAGACCGAGGCCCAGCCCCAGACTCTCCCTGAGCCCCCTCAGCTGCTCCTCTCCCAGTCGGATCTTGTCTTCCAGCTGCTTCTGCTCCACCAGCAGGGCTGCCTTCATCTTCACAAAGTGGCTGAAAGGGGGGGGGGGGGCACACACAAGGCGGCTGTTATGTAGGAGCCATCATTTCAGAAGCAGAGAGGCTTTCTCGACTTTCACAAGCACTGAAACTCTTTCCTTTTATGTCCAACTGTCTATGACTTTCTTTTGTCTGCGACTGCTCCCAGAACGTTTAAGCAGTAGTTGTGGCCCAAAGGCTGAACGTCAATTAGCTTAGTGATGAAAAAAAACAAAAAAAAATCCGAACAACAAAAAAGCTAGCAAACATTTTTAGCCAGGTACTTCAGCTCGCTAAAGCTAGCTATAGTCCCACATTGATGCATTTAATAACCATCTTTTCTGCTCAGCATGATTTGTCATATTTAAATGTTTTGGTCATGTGATTAGAGAAATTTTGATTGTGAACTGGCTCCAGATAATCTGTGTCGCACAGATGCATTCTGTTACATTGCTGAGCAAAATTGCTTAGCATTGGTTATTCAAGCATATTATAGGTCAACCTTTTTTTTTATACTGAATTGGATGCAGTATACTTGAAGTGTACTTTTCAAACACTATGTTTGTATCAATTCCATAGAATTATGCTTAGGTATACTTGGCTTGGACTGAAAAGTATGCAGACAGATATTTGCAGTACACTTTTAAAACCTAATTTGTTCCAATGTAGGATAAAAAAGTACACCTTATATACTTATACTCAAGTATACCTTTTAATGTATACGTCATGTATACAATTTTTTCGAAAGCGTTCTTGGAATAGTATTGATGGTTTGTAGAAGAGCGATGGGATTAAAAAACAGATTAAGTGGAAGCGCCGGGAGGCAAATCCACAGCGGGGGCCTCCACTTGTTGTACCTGTAGTCTCTGTGCTGCTCCGGAGAGAGGCATCGGGCCAGAACCCGGCTGACGGCCTGCTCCCTGCGGTCGACGTGGTCCTTCAAGTCCTGGGCCTCCGATAGCTGCCTCATGAGCTGGCGCTTTTTCTCCAGCAGGGAGAGCTAGACGGCAACCAGAGAAGCACAATGTTGGAGTCAGTTTCCCTCAAGTGGAGGCTGTAGATTCTATCATTCCCGAAACCGGGGCTACTAAATTTTTGTGGTCATCGAACTGTTCCGGCCTTTTGCTAGCTCAGCAGAGATTGGGCGTTCTCAGAGTATTAGTCCAGCCGCACACTTCATATCACACAACACGATCGACCGGGCCATTCATAATGTAGAGACGGGTTTTCCTGGGCGAAGCTCTCAATTTACCGGTCGATCTACGTTCCGACCCTCACATCTGGTCACGAGCTCTGGATCATGACCAAAAGAACGAGATCCCGGATACAAGCGGCTGAAATGGGTTTTTCTCCGCAGGGTATCCGGGCTCTCCCTTAGAGATAAGGTGAGAAGCTCGGTCATCCGGGAGGGGCTCAAAGTCGAGCTGCTGCTCCTTCACGTCGAGAGGAGCCAGAGGAGGTGGCTCGGGCATTTGATTAGGATGCCTCCTGGACGCCTCCCTAGTGAGGTGTTATGGGCCTTGAGGACGACCCAGGACACGCTGGAGAGACTATGTCTCCCAGCGGGCCTGGGATCACCTTAGAATTCCCCGGGAAGAGCTAGAAGAAGTGGCTGGGGAGAGGGACGTCTGGGCTTCCCTGCTAAAGCTGTTGCCCCCGCGACCCAACTCCAGATAAGCGGTAGAAAATGGATGGATGGATGTGTTTTCCTGTCCCCTTACCCTCTCGTCATCATCGGTTTCAGGGTTGAGCATGTCGAGCGCGGTCTCCACCCTCAGCAGACGCCCCGACAGCGACAGCAGCAGGCTGACCACCTTGTCCAGGTCACCGATGAACATGCGGAACTTGTCCACCTCGTTGGGCTTGCACACGCCCACCACCATGCCCTCCACCTCTTCCCCCAGCTGCGCGTTGGCCCTGACGTCGTCCTGAAGCCCCCGCTGGGCTTCCCTCAGTACCCCCAGTTTCTTACGCAGGCTCTCCATCAGCTGTCTCTACACGTCGGAAAAACGTAGACAGAAAAAAAACCCGGTTCAGACGGGCAATCGTGAGAGAGGGGGTGACAGCGAGGTCGCATACCTTATAGGTAAGCTCGTCGTCCTCTTCCCGCTCTTTGTCGGCCAAGTCCTTCATCTGGGACAAGAGCTGAGCCTTGGCTGCCGACGTACTGTAATAAGAGGAGCAGCTGGAGCTCGCCCCGGACTGCCTGACAGGGGAGGACATCAAGGACATTACAAAAAGCGCAGGGCCTTCTTCTCGTCGCAAAAGCGGAATTTACACCAATTGGGAATCACATCAGAATGAATTCTCGTTACCTCTCCAAACTGTCAGTGTTGTGTTCGGCGTTATGGAAGGCACCCCTCCAGCTCTCCGTTCCCGACTCTCCCTCACTGCTGTGGGGGAAGAGCTCGTCCAAGCTCAGCCCCTCCCTGCTACTCTCCGGCTCCTCCTCCACGGAGCTGCACTCTGCCCGGACACCGCCCGCCGGATCAGCCTGCGGCTCAGGTAAGGTGTCGATGTCCGTCTCCAGGACAGTGGCCGGCAAAGCGAAGCAAGGAAGCTCGCTGGTGAGAGCCTCTTCCTCCACAGGAAGTCCATCATCTTCCTGGAAGTCGTCGATGTCCGTTTCTAAAGGCACATCCAGTTCCGCCTCTAGGCTGTGTGTGGGGCTCGGGCTGAGGGTCGCCTCTGACTCGGTTGCGGTTTCAAGAACCTTTGGTGGCTCAACACTCTGGATGTTTGAGCCCAGACACATCTCCTGCTCCTGCTGCTGCTGCTTGTCGTCCAGCGCAGAAAGCGATTCAGGAAGTAAAACGCCACCAAGGTATCCATTTGCCACGGCAGGTGGAAGCATGTTGGCGCTTTGAATTCTGGGAGACAGCGCTCTCGTCCACTCAGCTCCAGATGGCGGCTTGTCAGGATGCTCGATTTGACGACGGCTGCGGTTTGATTCACTGGAGACAAACGATATGAAAGCAATCACCAAAAAATACAACACACTTATTCACCAAGGGATGCGGCACGCTGGAGCGTGTGGCTAGCACGTCTGTTATGTCGGAGCTTCTGGGTTAGATGGACATCATGTAAGGTTTGTTGTTGTGCGCATTTGTCGACATGAGTGTTTCTCAACCTTTCTCGCGGCGCGGCGCGGCGCATCACATAAGTATCGTATTGGGCCGAATGTAAGACGGCCCTGATTATAAGACGGCCCCCACTTTTTCAGTCTTATTTTAATGCAAAAAACACCGTCTTATATTCGGGCCAATACGGTATCTCAGTGCCCGCCACAAAACAAAAATCACACAAACAGAAAAAATGGCGGCAATGGAAATCTCTGGTCTACGTGGCAGGCAACCTGTAGGGCAGTCGAACAAAAATGAGCCCAAGCATTTTAGCTGACCTGCTCTGAGGTGCCGGCGGTGCCGCAATCTCCCTCTCGTGCTGGTCAAAGAACGTCGGGACCACGGGCCTGAAGGCCCGCCTGGAGAACATGGGACTGGGCGGGGCAATGGAAAGGGAGAGTTGATGCCGATCGGGCGGGACGTGGGAGAAGGCGGGTTCTTGAGTCTGAGGCTGGTGGCAGCTGCAGCGTGGGCAACTCTCCACCACTTCCTGTCTCTGCGGCGGGAGGCTGTACGACCTCTGCCTGGACGGCTCAGAGGTACAATGAGCAGGAGGGTGCTGCTCTCCCGTGCAGGGATATTGCGGAAGAGCAGTCGAGGACGAGGCAAATAGCGTGTGGTGGGACGCTCGCCTGCGGTGGAATTGCTCCCACTTGGGCGGCGGCGGCCTCGGAGGAGGTTTTTTTTTCGTCCGGGTCAACGGGTCTTGCTCTCCGTCCGCTCGTTCCTCCACTTCGCTCAGCGTCTGGCTGGCGGCGGTGGAATGCGATGGCGACCATCGCTGACCGGCATCGATGTGGAGATCATTTTCGGACATGGTGCGCCCCCGTTGCGAAAGGGGGGCTAACGTGTGTCCGTTGCAGTCGTGTCGGTCGCCGACCACCCGTCGTGGGATCCGCGACGCATGGCGGGATGGCGGATGATGCCGACCAATGCTGTCCGGGGGCTGGGGGTCCCGTCTCCA